GACAGCCAGGCCTGCAAATTCAGAGGGCAGTCTGAAAACAAACCAGCCTGCTCACTGCCTGCCTCATGCACCGACAAAAATGTTCTGCCGCTGGAAAACAGCTAAGAACTACGATGAAGTACATGCCAAAATAGAAATGAGCTCATTCTCTGCTATCTCTGTTGGCCTTCTATTGCAAACAGGAGCTAAAAGTCCCCCCAAAATTCTTTCATCAGAAAAAGAAACAGCTATGACTTTGAGCCCACACACAGAGAAAAGTTCTGCTCAGAAAGAAGTGCTATTTTTAGTTGTTTTTCAAATGAAAACTATGCTAAGCTGCAAACTTCAGTTCCCTCTGTTCTGTTTAACTTTCCTTAACCCTATTTATTGGCAAATGTTTCTGTGTGGGATAGAGGTGAGCTTCATACTTGAAATTTCTTCCTTTTTTTCCCCTCTTTCACATCAGTCTGAAAATCAGGCAATCTGCCTTCACATAGTACGGGGAATGTGTGCCAAGATCTGGATATCTGAAGGGCCCATTCATCTAACACAGAATATGTGCACTCTCAATGTCTGCGTCATGCACCTGCTCTTAGCTCTTTTGATTATTTTAAGAAGAGTGTGGAAACTTATCAAGGGAAAAAAATTAATGAAACGAGGAGGCTGCAGCCCACTCCCACCCAGCGCATCTGTTCCCTTCCTGCGCACCTTCCTCCTCAGTGACCATTTGTCTCAGAGGCTTTGCAGAGGACATCACACAAGACTTTAAACATTTCTCTACGAATTCCAGTGAAAGTATCCTCATCCAAAACAGTATCTAGGTGCAGTTTAGCATCTGACTGTAGCCCAGTTTATCATGAATTTACAGGCCAATTTTGTCTCCTTGTGGGGTGGAAAACAAGAGGGCAGAAAACAAGGGGCAGGTCCCGATGCTGTATGCAGTTGTATCGATGTTCCCAAAGCTCCACGCGGGCTGGTGTATGTGAATCCAGTCGCAGGTCCAGAGCTGCCCTTACTAGTGCCTAGCAAGAAATCTCAGCAGTGTCTGTCCCCTTTGGTGTTTCACTGATCTTGAGGTGAAAATTACTGGCTCTCCACCTGTGTGTCCCATCCCTCAGGCTCGCTCTGCCT